GTAATATATATTTGTGTATTAGTAGTATAGATATTGTATATTGTATATTAGTAGTATATATAATTATGTCTATAATATTTACACATATATTAATATACATCTATGTTCACACTACACACGTACATTTAAAGGACCACTATAGGCACCCAGACCACTTCAGCTTAATGAAGTGGTCTGGGTGCCAGGTCCAGATAGGATTAACCCTTTTTTCTGTAAACATAGCAGTTTCAGAGAAACTGCTATGTTTACCTATGGGTTAATCCAGCCTCTAGTGGCTGTCTCATTGACAGCCGCTAGAGGGCTTCCGCGCTTCTCACTGTGATTTTCCCAGTGAGAAGACGCTTGCGTCCATAGGAAAGCATTGAGAATGCTTTCCTATGGACTGGCTGAATGCGCGCGCGGCTCTTGACACGCATGCGCATTCAGCCAAAGAGGACTAGAGGAGGCGGAGAGGAGGAGGAGAGCTCCCCACCCGGCGCTGGAGAAAGAGGTAAGTTTAACCCCTTCCTCAACCTAGAGCCTGGCGGGAGGGGGACCCTGGGGGTGGGGGCACCCTCAGTGCACTATAGTGCCATGAAAACCAGTATGTTTTCCTGGAACTATAGTGGTCCTTTAATCACTACTGTAAGGCTGGAAACATTAAAACTGGTCCTTTCAAATATATAACATGTGACGGGAGCAATCTCGCCACATTGCATTGGAGAAGCCTGGTTGCTCGTCTGTTGCCTCTGGACTATGGCCCCATGATAAAACTTGTATTTTCCCCTGCAGAAAGGCTTATTCGTGCCTTTCTACCAGGGTGTTCGGTAAATTTTATGTACCGAACAACCGCACGAATGACTGGACCGCCTGGGAGCTGGAGTGTGTCGGCAATTTACTTCCCAGAAGCTGCGGTCAACCGCAGCTTAATTGACAAGTACTGGGTGGTCGGGGTTACACCTAGCCGCCACACGATGGTGGTGTTATGGAAGCTCCACGGGTAGCCAGCGTTTGTTCTACCCAGCGGCAGGACACCAAAAGCGGACACTTTTGTCTTCCAAGACCCGCTGAGGCTGGAAGTCTGCAAACCCGGTCGGGAACCGAACAGCGGAGCATTTGGGACTTTTAGTGTTGCAATGTATTCGGTGTAAAAGTACCCAGATAGCCTGCCATGGAGCTTGTTCGTGGAATTAAAGACTTTGGCTCCATGGCGATTAAACTGTATTCGTGTGGTCTGAGCGCCATTCGCTTAATAATGTGCGCTCAGACCTGAGCTCTCTGGGGATATGTTAAATGTATATATTTATTGTAAACTTTTTAACATGGGGGATTTTAACAGTAATTCCTGTATTGGTATCCCCACGTGTATAATGGCGATTTGCCTTTGTCCTGGGAGATAATTGAATTACTTCTCAATTATCTCCAGGGCAGAGGGTAGGAAGCCAGGATACATTGTGGGAATATAATGTGACTGTGTGTCCTAGATTGATGCTTGTCTGTCCTTTGTTACAGTCTCCCATTTGGTCCCCTAGGGGAGTGTCCACCAGGTGGGAGACCTGCATAAATACTGGGCAGGTAGCCCTCATTAAACAGACCACTGCTTGACCCTCAACACGGAGCCTTGTCTCGTCCTTGGCGGGATTGACTGTATGCTGATAGAGACTGATTGCTAGGAGTGTAAGCCGCTTGAGTGCTTTTCCTATTCGTCTGCTAGCAGCTATTCGTATGGTTCCAGTTCGGGAGTTTGGAGTGCTATATTGTATGCAGTTCGGGAGATTGGAGCATTCCCTTATTTGCGGTTCGGGAGTTTGGTGTTCTACAGTAGCTGTGCCTGCATCTCTGGAAGAGGAAGATCGCCTAAATGGTTTTAACCCTTTGTGTGCTGAAACGGTCCGTTACAACATATATGTAATGAGCACGTATTGGCTCAGTTTTGTCAGGGCCGGATTAAGAGCCAATTGGGCCTGGTGCTGACAAATGTGATGGGCCTAATCACAGAATCATATCGACAAAAAACACTAAAACAGTTATACCTCTCAATCGTCATGTATCATGTACCCTATGCTAATCTCTCGCTTTGTTTAAGTAAATCCATACCCCATAACAGCAGTGTCCGCTGAAGCAGGATTTCGGGGGGCGGAGTAAAAGGGTGAATACATACAATAGGTGGAACACACATCTGACGATTCTAGAAAAAGAAACAGAATATCATAGTATAATACTGTTAAATAAAAATATGATAGATGGCAATAGAGCAATGTTTCTCACAAGCCCAGAGCCAGTATAACATATGGCTCTTATGTGAAGCGCAGTGGGACTCTTAATAGGATGTCCCCATCCTTCTTCCTATTCTTTCTTGGGTAGTTGGAAGGTGGCAGAAGAAGATTGCAGTATTCCAATGTATTTTCCCAACAAGAAGGAAACTTTATTGATGAAAGAAAATTAGTTTCCACGCCCACCTTCAGCCTAAAAGGGTGGGCCACTGATGTGAATCACGTAACCAGATCCGCTCCAAAAAAAAACACATGCCTAAAAAGAGGGCGTGTCTGCACCAAAAATTAGATGGTCAGCCTAGCACGTCAGTGTCACATCATGCCATGTTCTGCGGATCAGTCTGGTTATTGCTTCTGGTATCCAGTACTCTTTTTACAATTATTGTTTAGTTTTTCTTGGATTTTTGGTTTTCTATTCTATGTCTGGTTTTCCTTATGCTGGGTTTTCTGGGTTCATTCCATTATTCCGTCCCTGGAATTCCCAGTCTCCTGGATTCATTTATATGTATGTTTTATGTTGCCACACCCGTTTGTTTTCCATTTTCCTTTTGTTTCAGTGTCCTACAGGCAGCTGCTCAAGCCTTCTGCCCTTTCTTGCAGGTAAGTGCTATTGTGGTTTAGTATGGTTCTTTTAGCGAACATTAGGCAGTGTAGGACCTGCCGAATATGGGTTACATTGGCGTTGTGGGAGGCTTATGCAATGTATGATCATATAATGTAACTAAATCCCCATATTTTTCATATATAGTGCTTAGTTATGTCTCCTCTTGTTTTGCCTATTATATCTTGTCTTGTTTTATTTTGTAATCCCAGTCCATGTACAGTCCTGTCCTGACCCTGTTTAGTTAATGTTTCCTTTAAGGATTGTGTACATGTTCTGGGTTTAGCTTTCTATCCTTCTCTGGTTCTGGGTTCTACTAGTTTTTGTCTTTTTTTCTTGTTTGGTGCCTGTTCTAGTCTTGCCTTGTTTCTGTACTGGATACATTCTTGCTGCAGAGCCTCCCTATTCAGCTCCTGGGAGGTCTACTTAATTCCAAGCTTCAAGTTCCTGGGATCCGCTCTAGCTGCATCAGGGACCTGGTATGTGGCCGCACAAACGCTGGTGCTCAACACCAGAGGGCGTGTGGTTACCCTGCACCAGGCCCTGATAATCCACTTCCACGCTGGAGACTCCCAACTTTTCATCAGGCACTCAGGGGTCCCGGTTTCCGGACCGCCACCCGTGACAGTCAGGCTGCCTGCCAATCATGCATGACGACCAACTAAGGGCATACTGTGCAGACAGCACCCCAAGCTTGGTATAAATGCATCTAATGATGCGCTAGCTCTACGCTTTCTAAGCACTCACTGGTCTAATTCTCTCCTAACCTTCTTACTAGCAGGCAGTAGCTCCTGTTGTACATTCTGGAACAAAGAAAAAGTGTATGTAGTGAGTGTAGAAGAAAGGGAACATGCCACAGAGTTAGAGAGAGTGAAGCAGCAAGAGCATTTGCATAGTGCGCAAAGTTAGCTTTATCTTAACTAATTTAATTGTCAGTCAGTCCACACCAGTTTTTCTCCCCTACCTCCCTCTTAAGTTTCCATACTTAAGCAAAAGCATGTGAAGAGTAGTAAAAAAATTATTATTTTTTAAATCAATAGGCCTGTTCCATAGGCATGGGCCTGGAGCTGCAGCTCCATCAGCCCCTATGTTAATTCAGCCCTGAGTCTTGTTGCTAGGTGTATTCTCCAGCATAGAACAAAATAAACAAGATAACTTCATGTTTTACATTAACAGCATATATTCACAATTTTAGTCCCATTACCAAGCTTTCCTTAATATGTCAAAGTAGTTGAACTGAATCATTGATTATATGCAAATGCGTGTCTGCTTAAAATAAATCTGTTCTTTTGTTAATTTTAAAGCCCTGTGAGTGCTTTCTTTCATGTTGGAGCAAAAGTTTTCCATTTTAAGTTAAGTTTTCCACCTGTATATCAGCACACTATGCTGGCGCAACGCATTACTGGGCTGGTATAGAACTTTTATATAGGTCTGCTTTTCGTTCCCAGTCTGGTCCTGATCACTGCTGATCTCTATCCCTCAGATGCTGCAGTCAAAGTGTCTGGAAAAATCCTGCTTGCATATATAGATTGTTTTACTGCTCCTTCTTTTACACTATATTTATTATCTATCAGTTTGTCACTTGATATTTGAATAAAATCAATATATATTGGCTGTCCTGTAAAAAGCAATCATCTTTTTGTTTGCTACATCTTGATTGTACCTAAGACCACCTAAGATCCAGACCAGGCCAACATATTTGAGCTGACCTTTTGTCTATCATGGGAAACTAAGCTGCTTATGTGCCACACCAAATAAATCACAGCATCTTCTCCACTTTGTTTCTGGTGCTGGGTACAGCATTGCGATTCAAGAACAAAACTAAGCATGTTCAGGCTTGCACGAGTCAGATTTCTTGTGATTCTGGCACAAATTTGCTTGAATTGAGGTTCGACTTAAAATGAATCTCCAAGTATAATCACAAGTGTTCTTATCACAATTCAAGCAACGTTCACATAAATACAGATACTGAAATACAAGCTTTCCAAAATTTTCATGCCAAAATTCTCTGTATGGACTGTTGCAATTTAATATCTGTGTATTGCTTATAATTAGTGATGTCCCGAACGGTTCGCGAACGCTTTGTCACGAACGGTTCGCCGTGGACTCATCATTGAGTAAACTTTGACCCTGTACCTCACAGTCAGCAGACACATTCCAGCCAATCAGCAGCAGACCCTCCCTCCCAGACCCTCCCAACTCCTGGACAGCATCCATTTTACATTCATTGTGAAGCTGCATTCTTAGTGAGCTGTCCAGGAGGTGGGAGGATCTGGGAGGGAGGGTCTGCTGCTGATTGGCTGGAATGTGTCTGCTGACTGTGAGGTACAGGGTCAAAGTTTACTCAATGATGAGTCCGTGGCGAACCGTTCGCGAACCGTTCGGGACATCACTACTTATAATCTTTATCGTTGTAAATAATGTAGACAAAATTCAGTCTCAATCAATGCTAAACACACACACACATACACACAATAGATGACATTATAACTTTAAAAGAAACATGGATATAGACAAAGAAATTCCAAGCTGGTGACGTTGTTTCATCAACAATGTCACAGCACAGTGGCAACATTACATCTTGCGTTGACACACGTTGACACACGCATGAGTTTGTATCACCATGGTGTCATCAGCTACTTATACAACCAATGACAAGGATAAAAGCAATCCTGAGGAAGTTTCTACTGAGAACTGATTTAAAAAGTTGAAAAATGCTTTCCTATGAGACTGGCTGAATGCGCGCGCAGCTCCTGCAGCACGTGCGCATTCAGCCGAAGGGGAGAAGAAGAGGCAGAGAGGAGGAGGAGATGTAAGTTTTAACCCTTTCCTCTCCCCAGAGCCGGGTGGGAGGGGGACCCTGAGGGTGGGGGCACCCTCAGGGCACTATAGTGCCAGGAAAACGAGTATGTTTTCCTGGCACTATAGTGGTCCTTTAATGGTGAATCTTATCAAGATAAATCCACTGAAATGATGGGAAAACCAATTATATTGTACATTCTTGTAAAAAAAAAAAATTCTTGTAAAAAGTGTAATGTCATTACAATGAGTTTTTGGAAGGCAATCCCTAGCTAAAAAAAACAAAATCTGTCGCCTTTAAAATTGTACAACGTGTAAAAAAAAAAGCTAACTGAAATACTAACAGTTGCGATTGACTGAAAACAAATCTTAATAATGTAAAAATTTCATTTTGGAAGCAAATTTTTTTATATATTAGAGTAAGTCAGCGTGAACAGATGTCATTGAACATCAGCATGTAGAGTTGTAAAAAACTGCAATTAAGGGTAATACTGAAGTCATTATAATGTTATAACATATCTTTATTGAATATGGTATCAGTGAAGGAGATGACAAATGCTTTTATTACTGAAAGTATAAAAGGAATATATTATAGGAATGTCCTTGATTTTGAATAATGTACAGGTATGAACATCATGAATGCTTAAAGCAGAGAATTTAGCACAACCTGTTTAACCCTTTAAGGACACATGACATGTGTGGCATGTCATGATTCCCTTTTATTCCAGAAGTTTGGTCCTTAAGGGGTTAAAACTAGCCAAAGGTTGTGCTATTTCATTAAGTGAATCTAACATAATAGGCAGCATCTAATATAAAACAGTTAAAGATAAATGATATACGTATTTCCTGTAGGAGTCGTTATATTAGTCACTTTTTCTCCAGCAATTTTACCACCATCATGACACTCTGCTCATAGAACCTCCTACCTTCTGCCCTCTTATTCTGTTGGCCATGCTTGAGAACCTCAACCAAAGCGGGGCATCTTCCTCAATGACATGCTGATTTATTTCCAGTGTCTTGTCATCAGAACAGAGGGACACCTGTTACTTTCACTATATTTCTCTAGCAAGTGTGCAGACAACATGCAGTTGCCACGGGAATATTGCAGAATCTACAATACGTGTGCTGTAGTTGCTGTGACAATGGACAGGAGAACCACATGAAGGAGGGTCCTCCAGTTCTCTTGTCTTTCTTTTGTTGGCATAGAGGTTTATTCCAACAGCATATACACCTATGCCAAGAATTGATTGACAGGTAAGAAGACATTTTAAGAAAATCTACATATTTTCTAGCAATCCTAGTACAAGGTATAGATGAAATTGTGCGGTCTTTTATTAATTTAAGGTGTCTGAACCATGATAATGTACACTTTAAATTCAACACCATTTTTAGTTGTTAATTTAGATTCTATTCCTGGATATCCTAGCACTGCCAGAGCATACAATGTAAATAATATAACCTCCCACAATGCCATGTTGATGTACTGCACTACGATAGGAATGCCCGTCCATCATGGGGAAGTGTATCACACGGAACATCAAATTACGATGAAGGTAAATATCTATATAATTATATCCAATAAACTACTCATTCCAGTAAGTGCTTCAATAACCTGTGATGTGGTGAATTGAGGCCAGATCGTATTTTAAACTGACCCATCAAGGGGTGTTAAAGGTATAGCAAGTAGGAACACTGTTTTTAAAAAAAAAAATAGTTTGCAAGCCATGATAAAATAGGATACACTCCCTGAATTGCAGAAAATCTTATCTGTATTAAAGTTGGGCTAACTGGTGGTAAGTTGGCTGACACTGGGCTCTTTGTGTTTTTATATGTGTCTCTATATCGTTAACCTAGATCTGCTTCATCTCCCCTTCTGTGGATCTAATTACTGCAGCTATTTGTGTATCATTACGCTGAGTTCCATCTCCTTGCCTGTGCTGTCTATCTCACAGATGAATGCATATCACCTTGCATCATCAATCTAGCAGTCAGTCTTTTTACAGCTAGGTGTATGTAATCTATTTCAGCTTCATCACTCTTCTTGGTACCTGTCACAGGCAGCTAGTTAGGCTTATCAAATCTATTTTCCTTCTTTTGTCTGCTTGCCGACAGTTTTACGTGTGATGGAAATGCAGTCTGAGTTACGCAGGGTTATTTGCTAAAGTTCAAACAGCCCCGTACTGATTGGGGCAAAAACATCAGGCTGCATATGGGGCCATTGGAACTGCAAAACCTGGACATTTACAAAAAGAGAGGTCCCGCGCTCACTCCCATCACTACTACTGGGCCGGCAGCAATAACTACAGTACACATCAGCCCCAATATAAAGTAAAAACCAAAGAAAAGAAAAGGTTACCTGAGCTCTCTCCTTAATCCCTATGTATATCTAGACAAATGGAGGTCATTTAGTTGCTCCAATGGCCATTGGAGGGAATGCCCGCCTGCCAACGTCAAGGCAGACCCCCCTAAAGCGGGTCCTACACTGACCCTTCAGCCTGCTTCCTTGAGATTCTGGCAAAGATATCTCCAATGAGACAGAGAGGGGTATTTTTTATATACACCCCTATATACTTATTAACCCTTAATAGGGAACACATGGGATGGGCGGCAGCACTGTAACAAGGCTGTGTGATACAAAGTAAATACATATACAAAAAGTGAAGTCCTGCGCTCACTTTGGCCATTGGAGCAACTAAATGACCTCCATTTGTCTAAATATACATAGGGATTAAGGAGAGAGCGCAGGTAACTTTTTCTTTTCTTTGGAAAATCTCACAGGATTGCATACCTTTTTTCTTTTTTTGTGGCACACCTGTCACATCCATTTTGTACACCTAAGTGTGCCTGTGCTAAAGAGCTTGTAAATGAGAAACTGTAATGTGCAGTCACATACAATAATCATACATTAATATTTTACATGTACGCATAGTGGAAATATCCAATAAAAAAGATATTACATGCAGGAAATCTGCTTTCACATTGTTGTCTGTGTGCCCACTGTGCTGTCACTGTACTACGGAAAACATGCATCTGAAAACACCCATTGACACACTTCCCTTCTTTGACGGCTAATGCTTGTGATGCAGAGCCAGTAGTTATTTTTTATATTTCCTGCCATGGACGGATGGATGCCTGTGTAGTATGAAGACATGAAGACACTGGTGATGTGAACTTTGTCCTCTCTGCTGAGTAATATGTCCAGCACCCATGAATGTAAAAAGCAATGGGATAAGAGGAGAGATAACCCCTAAATATTTTAGAGGGGGAATGAGAGTGGGAGATACTACTCAAATCATGATGGTCTAGATCTTTAAACAACTTTTGGCTTTGATTTAGTATTTTTGGACAAGCTTTTAAAATAATTTAATAATTTTGCATAAACTTTTAAAATGATTTAATATGAAAATATTAAAAAATTTTATGTTTAAAAATATTGTATATTTTTCAAAATATTTTTGATATATTTATATATATATATATATATATATATATATATTTTATATAGTATATATTTTCAAATATTTTATTATTTTGAAAAAAAACCAAAAAAACATTTTATCCAAAGATATTAAATAATTTAAAAAGTTTATAAAAAAAACATTAAATTGAGGCCTAAATAACATAAAAATACTATTTATAGAATATGATTATCTTTGCTACATATTTTAAAAACATTGACATTTCAGTGAAATGCCAAACATATTAAGTGGAATAACTAAAATATAAAGGACATGTTTTGTTCATAATTTCAGAACATTTATGGATATAGACACTATCCCTGCTATAATATTTTTTTGAAACATTGCATATTTATATACATTTAAAGTGTTAGGTCAGGTTGCTGAAATCTTTTTTTTATATATAATTTTTTTTATAATTTCTAATTACATTCTTAAAAAACAAGTTTACACACAAAAACAAAGAATATCGACTGGAACACAGAGATATGGCATTCAGGAAAATCATCACTTCTCTAAAAATTACATGACTAAAAAATAAACAACCATAAAACACAGAAAACCACCTACTTTTTGTTTAGTGCAATGATCCATTATTTTATATTTATATATAATATTTAGCAAATGACATCATAATCCAGTTCTGTTCTGGCACAGCCATTGAGATGAAGTGGTCTGTGTGCTTTTAGGGGATTATTAATGGGAGTTGTATGCGTGCCATACATGTTGATTGTACTATACAAGTGAGACCCACAATGCTATTCTTCAATTCTCTATAGGTGCAGTCAAGCTAATCTGTTGTAACGATTGTAGGCTGGTAACGAAAAAAGCTTTCCATCTTTTTTACAGAAAACAAATTACAAATAAAACACAGTTTAATATTGTCACACATGCTCAGTACAAAAACGCTAATTAACTCAGGTCTATAAATGAAGCTTGAATAGAACTTAATTAATTTTATGTGCTGTATTAAAGCATTACACAACAGGGAGTATGTATTAAATATAAGAATTTGCATAAAGATAATTAATTAAACATAATGAGGGGTGCACTAATTG